GATATGGGGGCAGGGGGCTGGAGGGTTTGTGGGGGCAGCTCAGGGCAGAAGGTGGGTGGATTCAGGGCACAGGGTCTGGGGGGGCTCAGGGTAGGGAGGTGGGGGAGCAGGAGTCAGGGCAGGAGGTAGAGGGTGCAGAACTCAGGAGGGAGCGGGAAGAGATTACAGGGTTTACAAGGGTGACAATGCTGTGCTGATGACTCCTCCCCAGGGTACAGAGCTTCACTTTCCTGTCAGCAGCTCCTCTGAGGGGGGAGAGGACCTGCATGGGCTGGGCCTGGCCTCAAGTTTGTCTGCGGTGAGCAGGGCTCTATGGGCCAGCCCTGGCCTTCAGCTGGCCCCCATCTTGCAGCTGTGAAGGAGGGCAGGGTTCTTCATATAAATTTCCAATAAAATGTTGACAAATTAAAAAATTATATTATTTGTATCATTCTGTCAATAAATATCCAATAAAATGTTGACAAATTAAAAAATTATATTATTTGTATCATTCTGTCAAGAAATAAGAATTTTTTCTATAGTGCTAGTCCATCAGCATTACAGTGTGCTTAATTAAGTTAAACTGTTTTTAATAATGTGCACGTGGCAAGTTTTCCAATACTGTAAGCTTACGTTTGTGTTGCTAAGAGCAAGTCAGGCATAGGGGCACCAGTTTAATAATCCCGCTTAGGGCACCATAAATCCTAAGGACGTCCCTGCTTGTGTGGAATTCCATCCAATACATGATACCAAATGCAGTTCTGGCTACTGCCAGGAAACCACCAATGGAATGAAGTTTTAGATCTTTAGAAATATTTTCTGAGGTGATACAATTTTGGCCAAAGCCATGCCTATTTCAACCACCAGGCAAGCAATCTTCTGGGTTGGGCCCAGAAGTTCTTCTTGAAAGTTAACCACAAGTGGTTAATAAAAATATGTAGCTAGCAGGCTAAGCCTCACTAAGAGCAGCTCCCTTTTTTCACCCTCAAAAGGGACCATCAGCCCCCTGTGACCATTTGACCTCAAATGTTTAGAGCCAAAAAGCAGATAGTTTAGAGGAGGTAATTTGTTTACCTCATTGCTTTATTTATCTATAGGACAGGTATGCCAAATGCAGTGCATAATGCACCAGGAATAAGAATAGAAGAATGACTATAATGGGTCAGACCAATGGTCCATCAAGCCCAGTAGCCTGTTGTCTGACAATGGCCATTTCCAGATGCTTCAGAGGGCGTGAACCGAACAGAGTAATTTATTACCCAGTTCCAGCTTCTGGCAATCAGAGATTTAGGAACACTCGGTGCATGGGGTTGCATTCCTGACCACCTTGGCTAATAGTAATTGATGGATCTACTGTCCATAAACTTATCTAAATCTTTTTAGAACCCAGTTACACTTTTGGCCTTTACAACAGTCCTCTAGTTATCGACATATGAGAGAACCTTCCCTCTTATCCCATTACTCTTTCTTTGCTTAAGAGCCATTGGTGAGGAACCTTGCCAAAGCTTTCTGAAAGTCCAAGTATACTGTAACCACTGACTTACCCTTGTCCATACATTTGTTGACACCTTCAAATAATAGATTGACAATGCATAATTTTCCTCTACAAAAGCCATGTTGACTCTTCCCCAACATATCATATTAATCTATACGTCTGATCCTTCTGTTGTTTACTATAGTTTCCACCAATGTGCCTGGTACTGAAGTGATGTTTACTGACCTGTAATTGCCAGGATCACTTATGGAGTTTTTTAAAAAAACAAACATCACATTAGCTATCCACCAATCATCTGGTACAGAGGTTATTTAAGCACTAGGTTATTTACCATAGTTAATAGTTCTGCAATTTCATATTTGAGTTCCTTCAGAACCCTTGGCTTCCATGACACATTCTGTTTATCTTGGATATTTCAACAGTTAAATTATACAGTAAAACTCCGATGGTCCGGCACTCCTGATGGTCCGGCACCATCAGGAACCCGGAAATGCTCCGGTCAGTATTCCTGAAAGTAGGAATAAGAGATCCTCCGGAAAAGGGCTTTATTCCGGAGGATCGAGCCAGTCTAGACGCTTTTTTCCGGCTTTTCCCCAAGCCGGAAAAAAAGCGGTGGACATGTTTATTTAAATCCCGCGGTGGATATTTAAATTCCCCGCGGATTTCCCTATTCCCACTTTCAAAATTAGCATGCCCCTTCCGAAGAAGGGGCCAGTGTAGACATAGCCGTACCGTGAAGTGGCTAGCCATCAGAACTCCCCTCTATTTCTGCTATATTCTTTTTTTAGATAGGGTTTCCAGAAATAAATTCTGTGTTCCAGATGAGGGCATAAAATTGATTTATATTAATTATTTTCAAGAGCAGAATAACTTGTATTGAAATAATTCTGAGATAAGTTAATATTCAGATTTGTAAATAAAAAATTTTATATGCACTTTTCTCTATTCTCAGTGGCTTGCAGAAAAGCTCTGGACAGTACCACAGTAGCAGCTCACGAATCTGAAATCTATTGCAAAACCTGTTATGGGAGAAAATATGGTCCCAAAGGTATTGGGTATGGACAAGGGGCAGGGTGTCTCAGCACTGATACTGGAGAACATCTAGGCTTGGATCTGCAACAGTGAGTTAAATTCCATTAATTATATCTTCTACCTTTATTAGCTACTTCATTAGGTTTCCATAATAACATTGAGCATAAGTGGCACAATAGGCACAATCATAGGTTTTTCTTCCATGAGTCTTGTCATTTCTGCCAATTTTTAATAATGTTTAGTCTCTTGAAAAACTTCTTTTTCAATGATTTCCTATTCCAAGACGCATGAGGTTAACTTTTTTCTTGCAATAAGAAAATATCTATTATTAATCCTCTCTCATGGATCACACACCACTTTAAGGTGCTGATTCCCAGATCGTGACTCAACAGAGAGAATCCTGACTGCAGATAACTGTCTGTCAATAATGTGTTTTCTGCTGGCAATACTATAATGAAGCTAATATAGCCATACTGAAGCTTAGAGAATGTATTATCAGTTATTCTTTATCACAAGCACATTCATTACCGTTTGTGGCACAGCAGCAATTTTTGACTTTCTATAGGTTTAATGACATGTTGCAGTCTGACAATCTAGTAATTCAAAGGTCACTATATGAGTGACTAAGAGCTGATACTGAGTTGGGCTGATAGTTCAGACATATAGATTGGAACCATTTTTCTGATGCACCTGACCTTTACATAGCATAGGCCTTTTGAAAGCAACAAGCAAAAACTACCTGCTGATGCCTTACAATGAATAAAGAAGACAACATATCAGATTCCTGTCTCTTTTTATTAGCCTCTCCTTGACAAGTCTCAGCAGGTAGCTGATGAGAGAGTTCTTTGCTGCGTTGTCTTTTTCAGTATATAGTTAATAAAGATATTTTTTTTAGTCTTCCCACTTGCCTCCCCCTTTCTGCTAAATAGTCTTTTTGTGCACATGACCACTTCCCTCCTTATGGATGGCCGTAATGTTCACTAAGACCAAAGCAATATTATCGTTAATACTGTAAAATGTGCTTTTTATTTTCTTGTATTATAAAGCAAACTTCATGTCCTGTGAACTAATTATGTAATGTTGATTAACCTTTCCAAAATGCATTGAATTGGAAAGATTTTGAGAATGGAAACATGATTTTTCAAGTGATGTTTAGATGTACTGAAAATCTCCTTTTTTCTACCAGCTCTCCAAAACCTGCTCGCCCTTCTACACCTACCAACCCCTCAAAGTTCGCCAAAAAGTTTGGAGATGTGGAAAAGTGCCCCCGCTGTGGCAAATCAGTATATGCTGCAGAGAAAATAATGGGAGGGGGAAAAGTAAGGCAATGTTACATGTTTTAATTGTTTTTTTTTTAAAGATCTGTTTAAATTGTTTGGTTTTAAATGTTGCTGAATTATACCAAATTGATAGTCCTTGATCTTTAAGTCGTCTTTTACCTGTAGACCAGGGACCATATCAAGAGCAGGAAAACAAGCTACCTGACTTTGGTAGGCCAATGTATCACAATCCTGACCTGGAGGATCTCTCTCTTACAGGAAATGTTAGTTCCATCTTCATTGCTCAGCCTTTGGCAAAAAGCATGCCATTTAATCACCAACTAATTTCACAAAAGCTACTTATCAGAGAGTAGTAGGCTACGTTTACACTGCAGGCTTTTTGCACAAGAACAATTGCTCTTGCAGAAAAGCACATGGCAGTGTGGATGCGCTCTTGCGCAAAACAGTTCTTACGCAAGAAGCCTGCAGTGTAGCCATAGCCATAGTGTCCTTTGGTTGCAAAGTTTCTACAAATGAAATGCTTTGTATCAGATTTCCCATCTCCTCAGCTGTTTAGTTTGGCTCCTGTTGTGTCACATTCTTTTTAGGACAGCAGGTCTCAATCTTTACCATTGTGTGACTCTTTTAAATAATGTTAAGACGGTGTCTACACTATGTTGGCATAACTCATGTTGCTTGAGGGTGTGAATAAACCACCTCCAAGCAACATAAATTACACCAATCTAAGCACTCGTGGGCACAGTGCTATGTAAACAGGAGAGCTCTTTCCTCTTCCCTGTGACATAGCTTCTGCCATTTGCAGAGGCAGTTTTATTATACTGACGGGAGAGCTCTCTCCTGTTGGCATAGAGCCCCTTCACCAGACATGCTGCAGCACTGCAGCTGCTTCAGTAGAGCTGCGCCAACTGCAATACTGGACACGTAGACATGCCCTAAAACGCCAGCTCCCCCAGCCCCAGAAGCTCCCCTTGATGAAAGGGTGTGGACTCTGAAGTAGGGATGTTCAATGTTTTAATCAGCTAACTGGCTAGCCAATGGAATTTCCATCGACTAGTCAATTAATTGATAAGGGGGATAACCGCAGAGCCATAGTGGGGTTACCTCTCGGCCCTGGGAAATAACCCCACTGCTGCTCTGTCTTTTATATGTATTAAGAGCCTGGCTGCCAGGCTCTTAATACAATTAAAAGGGCAAAGCGCAGTGTGGGGTACCGGGCACAAGCCAGGAATCAACAAGACAGAGGCAGTAAGGGAGGAAGAAAGAATAAGCTTGTCCGATAGTTGACTAGTCACTTTTATCCCTATTCTGAAGCAATCTGTTCACAATCCTCAGGTTGTAAACTCGCTCCATGGGATAAGTGTCCTCAAACTTTGTCATTCTATGAAGCACATATTAGTTGGGTTTGGTGGTCCCTCTTTAGTGTTCCCAATTACAGAAGCCAACTCCTCTTCCTAAACTTTCATGTTAGCCACAGCAAATGCTTATTTATTTTAAGATTTTAATGATAGTGTAGTTGGGGAGAAAAAAAGCCAGTGTCATGTAACCTGCTCCACTTTATGGATTTCTGCTTGGAAACTGACGATCTAGGATGATTCACTGAAAATGCTTTGCAGTCTTGAAGTCTGAAGTGATGGCTAACATACAATTGCAGTATAGACCGTGGGGCCAGAGTCAAGTGCTGATCCCCATTTGAGACCTCTCAGCTAGTAAGAAAGTCATTAGGAGTCACCTATTATGATAGGGTGCAATGATGAAAATCAGCATTTTGGCCTATTTTGACTAAAATGGAACATGTTGCTGAGATTAAATGAAAATTAATGTAACAATTTAAATCTTATTAGCCAAAGAAAATATAAAACTACAACCCTTTATACAGTAAAACTCCGATGGTCTGGCATCTGATGGTCTGGCACTCCTGATGGTCTGGTACCATCAGGAACCCAGAAGTGCTCCAGGCAGCCAGACCATTGGAGCTGCTCTGTCCCCAGCTTCCCCGATTCAGCCACTGCTAAAACTGACCAGTCCTGAATCCGGGAAGCAGGGGGCAGAACAGCTGGAGTGCTGCTGGGTAGGTCCCGTAGTGCTGCCCCTCGGGGCTGCGGGACCAACCCAGCAGCACCCCAGCTGTCCCGGATTCAGCCGCTGCTGAAATTGACCAGCGGCTGACTCCAGGAAACCCAAGACAGAGCTGCTCTGCCCCAGCTTCCTGGAATCAGCCGCTGGTCAGTTTCAGCAGCAGCTGACTTGGGGACACCTGGGGCCGAGCAGCTGGGTTGGTTCAGTAGCGCTACACCTCGGCACTGCGGGACCAATCCAGCAGCACCCCAGCTGCTCTGCCTCAGGCGCCCCCACGAGCAGCTGGGGCGATGTTCGG